GATTTGAAAATATCGGATTTGTGCCGTTCACACTGTCACACCATGATCGGATAGATGGTCGCAGAGGGTCAAAGAAGTCGGATTTGATGCGCTTTCGCCTGCAGTGTGAATGTAGCCTAACAGGTCCCACTGACAGGGTTATCATGGTCTAATGCCGATTACATAAAGATGGGTGGAGACTTGAAAGGAGGAAGTTTTAACCCTTGACCTCTACAGTGAGGTGGATGGATCCAGGTTTGCATGTAGACCACCTGTCATAAAAACACAACACTGCATTCATGGACCCAAGCACACCAGACTGTCACTGAGCATAAAATGTCATCTAGGCATCAGAACGATTTCCTTCTGTTCAGGAGTCGAAGTGAATACGTGTGATCTGGCATCTTAGTTCAAATGTTTTACTTTTTTGTGGAAGAGTAAATCTGAAAATCTATGAATAACAAATCAATTTTATTTTAGTATTAAACCAGTTCAGCCTGAATAAAGAGCTCGTCCACACTGTGGATGTGTCTAAGAGTGGATGTTAGACAGGAAGCACTAAGGAGACAGCTGACCCAGAGTGTGCCCGACTCACTTTGAAGGACTCCATGTCAGACAGCAGACAGGCACTCTGCATCCGAGCACGCAGGTGGGTACCTTCAGCTGATGTGCCCAGTTTGGTCAGCACCTCTGACTGCTCTGCTAACAGGTCCTCTGTCATTGGTGCAGGTTCCTGAAAATGAAACATGATGCGCTGATGTTAGACTCAGCTTCAGCTGTGAACCACTTACATCAGATCTGCTTTCATGGTTTTGTCACAAACGTCGCCTCTGTCCTGTTACAGCCTTTTAGTTCTAATTATTAACTGCACGTGTTTGAACATGGAGCGAGTGGGGTTGGGCTAACTGACTGTAAACTGCCCACAGGTGTGAATGAGAGCATAAATCAGAGGTGTCCAACTCCAGGCCTCGAGGGCCGGTGTCCTGCAGGTTTGAGACGTGTCCTTCATCCAACACAGCTGATTAAATGGCTAAATGACCTCAACATGTCTTGGGTTGTCCTTTGTTGCTCGTTAGCCTGACCTGTATCCCCAATGTTAAGTTTGTACATTGTGTGTATGGTTGATTAGGTCATCTCAGACAAATAAAGCTTATCCTTGCAGTTCTCCAGAGGCTGAACTAATCGTGTGATTCAGGTGTGTTGACACAAGGTGAGATCTGCAGGACGCTGGCCCTCGAGGCCTGGAGTTGCCCACCCCTGGGATAAATGTCCGTCTCTCTGTGTTCTGCGACTGGCGACTTGTCCAGGGTGAACCCCGCCTCTCGCCTTCTGGTATGGGATAGGCTCCACCCCGTGTGACCCGACTATTACTTTCAACATGCTGTATTTGGAATAAATAACAGCATCTGCTGTGTTTGACTCTGACCTGTGTGACGGGAACATAGAGAAGCTCTGCAGAGTTGAGCAGAGTCATGTTGTTGTAGGGGTGCAGCCGGCCCTCAGCTCTGCCCTCAGTCTGCGTCGCCTCAGTCTCGCCCTGGTCACTCAGGCACTCGAAGAATTCCTCCTCGCTGTCACTCCACGAGTCCCAGGATTTTCCTTGAGACATCTCTCTTGTTGAACTGGGAGCACTGGTTGCACACTCTGGTCCTTGGCGGCTCTTCTGGCAGGCACCTGAGACCCTGTGCTCCTTTTCTTTCCCCTCGGGTACTTTGTGAGATTCATCTCTGGCCTTCTTCCTTTCGATGCAACAATTCAGCATCTGTCCAGGAACAACAAGTCTTTTCACACATGGAAACATAAAACTGCTACTTGTGTTCAACACACAACACGACATTTATTTTAATAAACAGGTGTTTGGGAGTTTGAAGATGCTGTATCACACTGAGCTTCAGCTCTCAGAATTCATTTATCACCTAAACATCGTTCCAATTATCAAAGCTAACAACACTTTTGATAAACCACTGGGATTAAAGTTGCAAGTCTACAAATGTGCAGGATGTTGTTTTCTTTTAAATCGTTCGATTAGTCCTTGCACCGTGTGCACCGTGTGCACCGTGTGCACCGTGTGTCTACCTGGAACTTCTGATGCAAAAGACAACAGCGAAGATCAGGAGCTCCACCTGCCAGCCTGCAGATTAGGAAGCACAGAGATGGATATGAGTGAACAGCAGTTAACAGAGAAACAAATACTGCTTAAACCATTTCAAGCAAAGTTTTAGTTAGAGCACAAACAGTTTCACTGCAGGGGCTTCTGTACCTGGTATTATGTACTTGGATTTTTACATTTTGGTCATTCGTCTGTTATTAGAGGCGGACGGAGATCCAACATGACTGACAACAACACCAAAGCCCGATTCTAAAGTGTCGGCTCAGCTGGACAAAGTACAGACATCCAGCATTTGTTTATATGGGCCAGGATAAGAGCCACAGAGTGCTTCACACTAACATGAAACAGCACAAATCTAGTTCAAAGCCAGGCTAAATAAATGAGTCTCAAGCTGCTGTTTATAACAATAAATGCAATCAAGGCAACATAATGATGGAGGCAAAGCACTCCACAGCCTGGGGGCCCCGCTCTGACAGATCCACCTCCTCTGGTCTCAAAATGTGTTTCTGTCTGTGTGCAAGTCAACAGTCTAACGAGGTCCCACAAATGTCTGCAAATAGGTTTTTCTCTTCCATGAAGTCCTTTGAGATCCCGACTGAAATCTGCTGAGTGTTGGCCTCGAATACAGCAGCAATAACAGAGTTCAATGACAACAAGAACTTTTCATTGTCACTTGTTCTTCACTCTCTCCACAGCTGACGGACCAACAGCAGCACACGAGGACAGTGGTACCAGATACTTTGTATGCCGTCACCATCTGACAGCAGGCAGAGGGGCTGAAAATATATCCTCAACCTCAGGTTCAACGAACGAACTGACCCAGTCACAGACTTCCAGGCTTTGGAGTATTATTCCCAAGTTCAAGCACAGCCCCTAGTCCCACCTCTTAGAAAAGGAAACCGCTACTGCAGTCTGCTTATCCCGAGGTGGGAAACCAGGACAGTCCAACAACATCCACAGACTCAGTGGGACCTCCAGCCCAGGAGTCCTGCCACCAAAGAGTAACTACGTCACAGACCTCGCCAATTAATATTAAATCAAATATCAGCTGGTTCAGTCCCAACTGAAGGTCTCATTATTCAGGTTTCACACAATGTCTCATGACGGGTAAAATCAACGAGCTCTCTCAAGACTTTTGCAAAGCATGCTGGTGGCAGTGGTCACAGAGGAACTACTGAAGGCTCCAGCACACTTTTGGTAAAGTGGAAAGAATATTATTTCACCATAAATGGGTCACGACCAGCTGCTTCCCACAAGATTTCACACAGACCAGTGAAAAGGATTATCAGAAGAGTCGAGGCACAGTTATGAAGAGCCACAGAAAGGCCTGGAATCAGCAGGTACGACTGTTTCAAAGAAAACAATATGTGCTCAAGAGCCACAGAAAAAAAGAGAAGCGTAAAGTGTTTAAAGTTCTCCTGTACACTCATGCATACACACCTACCTGCCCCTCTAACACCATCGTTACATTTGCTGATGATGCGACAATCATCAATCATCAGTGGAGAAGACGGCGAACAGGCAGGAGGTTAAAAACCTGACAGGCTGCTGCAGTGAACACAACCTTCTGCTCAGCGCCATCAAAACTAAGTAGATGTGACCTCAGCAGAGGGAAACACGTTCCTCTCCACATCAAGCAGACTGTGTTCAGCGAGTGTCCTTGTTCCTGAGGACTCACAGAGCTGAGGACCTCTCATGGTCCAAAGTCAAAGACTCCACCTCAGGATGCTGAGGAGGAGGAGGAACCATCTGGAGAAGAAACTCTTGGTGGCTTTTTTACCACATCATAGTGTGTCCCCACCTACTGCTTGCAGCTCGGTGGCAGAGTAAATGGCCTAAATGGTCTGTATTTGTATAGCACTTTACTAGTCCCTAAGGACCCCAAAGCGCTTTACACATGCAGTCATCCACACATTCACACACTGGTGATGGCAGCTACATTGTAGCCACAGCCACCCTGGGGCGCACTGACAGAGGCGAGGCTGCCGGACACTGGCACCACCAGTAGGCGGTAGGTGAAGTGTCTTGCCCAAGGACACAACGACCGAGACTGTCGGAGCCGGGGCTCGAACGGCAACCTTCTGATTACAAGACGAACTCCCAACTCTTGAGCCACGATCACCTCTATGGGGCGTAACCCTCTAACCCGTAGAGGGTCATTAAGACAGCAGGGAAGGAAAGGGACAGCCACTATTCTTCTGTGCTGAATAGTGGCTGTCCCTTTCCTTCCCTGGAGGACATGGCCTCGCTGTCTCAGGAGAGCCAATCAAATCTCATCTCATCCTGGACAGCACCTGTTCAAGAACAGGACAGCCAGGCTAAGGAAGCAGCTTTTCCCCTGGACCATCGATCACTGAACACTAAGCTCAGTGAATGGGAGCCTCCCTCCTACCTGAGACACTCCTGTGTAACATTCAGTGTAATGTTCACTAATGCTGCCAAATGTAAGCTTACATCTAATAAAACACCAGCTTAACACGGGACAATTACAGCCTCCCTCCATGGCTGCTGCATCCAACCAGTGCAATACTCCTCTGGTTACCTTTGCTATTTTATTCAGTTCGACGAATGAATGACGAGTGTAACAGGTAGGAACGTGTGTCAGCTCTGCTCCAGTGTAACGCACAGGTACAACAATACGCTTCATCTTTAATATATTTGGTCACATGAGACTAAAACTGAACTCTTTGAAGGCTGTAAACACACCGTTTGGGTGGCTTCACCCCAAAAACACCACAGCAACACTGAAGTCTGGAGCTGGGAGCATCCTGGGGGGGCTGTTTATTCAGCGCACTGAGACATTCAGTATAACTCCAGGAAGGATGAATGGAGACATTGTTGATTAAAATCTGCTGCCATCTACCAGGATGATGAAGATGAAACAAGGATGGATGTTTCAGCAAGACCATGATCACAAACAGCCGATGGAAACGGTTTCAGAGAAATCAAGCTGCTGGAACGGCCCAGCCAATCACCTGAGCCGGATCTGTGGGAAGGATCCACGGAGCATTCGGGATTTATAGACTGTTTGTGAGTGGGTCAAAGTCATGAGCAATGATGGGACTGGTTTCTCCAAACAGAAGCTGTCAGGAACTGTCATCACCAACATTTGTATAAATAATAAATGTCCGTGTGTCACTTTGTGTTATTAACTTCATCTGTGGTTCGATTCCTTTGCACGTCTGGATTGGAAGTGTTGTTACCGACATCTGGTGATAATTTCCCATCAAAGCACCTTTAGAAATATATTTACTTAGAGACCTGCTGACGTGTTCAATACTTATTTTACCTGCTGTAAAATGAAAATGTTAATATGTGTGACATCTTTAAAATCAAAGCAGCACGAGCCTGTGAGGTACCCACCCACAAATAAGATGGTTATTTTCCCACCGGTAACGCAACTCAAGGACAAACTCCTGCCAGAGGTGCCCAACAGCCCGCAGCCCACCGTAGTAATAGTTGACCAGACACACACACAGAGCCAGACGGTAGGTCAGGCTGTCGCTGGGGGCCGACTTCAGCTGGTGGAAAAGGTTCTACAACGAGGGAAAAGAGATCAATAAAAGTCCTGACAAAGTACCGACAGCACTGAGCCTGTCTTCATGCTGAAACTTATTGGACCTGAGGGTAACCTTCAGTGTGCGAGTGGTGAAGAGGCAAACGTACATAATCAGGTTTCTCTTGCTCCGATGTCCCACTGGAGCTCAACAGCTGAGACTTACAGTCAGACTTCTCCACAGCAGCATCTGGAAACAGATACTGACACAAACACAAAGGCTGTCATTTAGAAACTCTGGTTTTATAGATGTTAGCAGAATTACAGTGGAGCTCACGTATTCATCAGGATGCTGATGGCTCAGTGGTGAAAGCAGGATGTGACCAGAATCAGACAATAAAAATAAGAGCGCTGCCTGATGACCTGATGACCTGTTTAAGACGACGCTCTGGTGCTTTACTGAGCTGCTGTCAGGTGGGATCAGTATCTGTGACCAGCAGTCTAATGCCGGGCTCACACTGTCGCGCGATTCAGCTCCTGCTCAAACTGCACGATTGACTCACAGGGTTAGAAGTTCGTAGGTCACGATGCAGAGTCTCACACTATACGACCCGATGCTCTGATGCGACCTGAGTCACACTGTGCGTCCATAACATGAAGGCTATAACAGAAATTCTGTCGCTCGCTCTCCCTCTCTGTCTTTCACACAGACACACACCACCATCAACTTTGCTAAAT